CCTCCCCGCCTCAGGTCTTCTTGTCTCTGTTTTGACACCGGGTCTATGTGGGGAGGAGAAGGTGCGGTAGATGCTGCAAAAGTCTGCTTTCACTATTAATTTATTCGCAAGTAAGTCATCGTGCCTGCTTCACCTTGTTGTGGTCGGATGCGACGGTCGGCCCATTACTGCGCGGCATCCAAAATGTTTACTAATGAAGTGCTGACAGCTTCTTCGACTGAAAGAAAGCCCGATATATTCTTTAAACGCTTTCTCTCCGTTGCCTCCTGGCATATCTTTCTCTGGAGTAACCTGCCTATCAATATAATATTGCCAGCTAGTCTATATGCTTCTAAGAGAAGACTGGGCGTTTATCTTAGCATTGAGTTGATGACCCTTTCATTTTCCTCATTCTTCGCCTACAGTATTCTCCATGACTTTGATGAAGTACCATTGGACTTTCAGGACTCCGCCGTCTACATCGAATAACCCTTTACGTTTAAATTATCCTCTTTGCGTGTGGTTTCGCTTTTCGCGACCCCTTAGCAACAGATTCGTGTTTTTTGTCCGTGCATCACAAACTTCACAAAACGTGATAGCCTCCCTACTATCAAAGAAGCAATCAGGGCTCTATTTACGTGCACGATCTAAACCACCTTTATTTTGTTCCCCGTCAACCTTTATCATGATTCAGCACTTTCCACTTAAATCTCGAGGTCTCAACCCAATGGTCGGTCTCACACTCGGTTTGTCACTATCTAGCATCGCCAGGCGCACTAAAATGATGCTTCGCTCTCAGTTTCCGGGTTACATTTATGGTTTTATCCGGCCATCAAGAAGAACTTATCCCACTTCTCTATATTCCAATACGAAATAGTTTTTTTTCTCCCGAATTTTTCCACTGAAATTGAAGGTTCCCTGGAATCACCCACCACTCTTGAATTTTTAGTAGTTTTCCACTGCTTTGCTCGTAACTTGCTGTTCTTCTAAAAAACGTCTAAGTTAGGATGCTCGGGTATCATTATTATCACCAGAGGAATTTTATGTGGAAGGACGAACCGCCGGCCAGTGTGAAAACTTGCATACATTGCATGGCATAACTACAAATTATGCTGTTCATCTGTCAGTCCACGCAGATCATTATTGTCTACTTTGTATTATTCTACCATCTGATTCGGTCTGAACTTCGTCCGGAGAACATCTTATGAGCGCTTAAAAGTTAAAAGCCAATGCAAATTAACGCTTGTTTGACGCCTGTTGAGATTTCATAACAATAGCTTTTAAAACGATTTCACTCGATCTGATTAGGCGCTGTTGTCCACCTAAAGTACAAAAAACAACTAGTCGACCTGCTTGGTTAACTAGGGACCTAAATAAGCAGCTACGGAAGAAAAGCAAAAGATGGAAAATATTCAGGGAAACTGCGTCACCAGCGCATTGCGAAGAATTTCGTCGTCAACGAAACGCCGTCAAAAAATGTATCCGTCAGGCACGGAAGGAGCATGAATCCAAAATTATACGACAAACTGAACAGAAGCCTAAGATTTTATTTCACTAGCTGAACAGTAGACTGAAAAATAAGGACCCGGTCGCGGTGCTGAAGGATGATAATGGTGTAGAGATCATTGAGAACAACGAGAAAGCCGAACACGTAGGACAGTATTTTGCCTCCGTTTTTACTAGAGAAACTGAGTTTCGCTGTCGCAGTACCGGCAATGCTCTTGAGACTGTTGGTCCCGTGCTTGACTCCATACTCTTCCCGGCAGCTGCCGTGGAAAGGGAGCTGAAAAATCTCAAAGGAACAAAGTCCTCGGGTCCGGACAATATGCCGGCCAAATTCTTGAAGGAACTGGCGAATGAACTTTCCAAACCACTGGCGCACATCTTCCGCTCGTCATTCGAATTAGGGAGGTTGCCATCGGAATGGAAGACCGGAAATATCTTTCCGATATACAAGGGCGGGGCTCGCACTAATGCTAACAATTGCCGGCCTATTAGTCTAACCTGCATCTGCTGTAAAATAATGGAGGCCATAGTTAAGAAAGCAACTATGGAGTTCCTGGAGCAGGGCCATTTAATCTCAGACCTGCAGCACGGCTTTAGACAGAACCGCTCGTGTCTTTCCAGTTTATTGCTCTCGACGGAGCAGTGGACTCGCGCACTGGATGAGGATGGGAGGGTTGATGTCATATGCACAGACTTTAAGAAGGCGTTCGACAGCGTCCCACACACACGCCTTATCTACAAACTTTCTGAAATTGGGATAAGAGGAAGGCTGCTGACATGGATAACAGATTTTCTTACTGGAAGATCGCAAACCATGTGCGTTGAGGCCTCAAGGTCAACTCCTACTCCCGTTCTAAGTGGTGTACCCCAGGGCTCCGTCGTAGGGCCGTTGCTATTCCTGGTTTACATAAACGACTGCGTTGACGACCTGGGATGCAGCGCCATCATGTTTGCTGACGATGTTAAGCTGTGGAGACCCATCAGATCTGATGCAGACAGGTACGCGCTTCAAGACAGTCTCAACCGCCTAAACAGTTGGTCAGCTCGCTGGCTCCTCAATTTTAATGTGGACAAATGAGTGGTCCTGAGATTCCGCACCAGGTGGACCGGTAAGGAGGACGATTCCTTTCATTATGTCCTTGGTGGTCAGTCCCTTTCAAATGTTGTGGAACAGAAAGACATGGGAATCCTAATGACCTCCTCGCTGAAACCATCTTCACAGTGTCAAAGGGCAGCCAAAAGTGCGATAAGGGTGTTATTTGCGCTGAGGCGAGGATTTGTGCAGATCGACAAGGAGCTGTTCGGAAAAACCTATGGGGCATTCGTCCGGTCTCACTTAGAGTATGCAGTCCAGGCCTGGCGACCGTGGTTAAAGAAAGATTATCAACGACTGGAAAGAGTACAGGCGATGGCTACGAAGATGGTCAAGAATCTTCATCATTTGCCTTACGAAACCAGGCTGACTGAACTAAATCTGTTTCCTCTAAATTGCAGGCAACTGCGCGGCGATCTCATTCAAACCTACAGGATTGTCAGAAGCCGTGAGTGGGCCCTAGATTTTGATGACTTCTTTGAATTGGCCCGGACTGACCGTCTGCGTGGTCATCCGTTCAAACTGCAAAGGAAGCGGGCTCATTCGGACGTCCGACGGAAAGCCTTCTCACACAGGGTCATCGGGGCATGGAATGGACTCCCTGATGCCGTCGTTCTTTCCGAAAGTGTTAAATCCTTTAAGTGCAGACTAGACGCTCACTTGTTGAGAACCTACTGTACATAAAATCATGATTGTTTTAGCGGCGGCAGTTTGCGCCTGGCTCACAGTTACCGCTAACTTCTTAACGTTTCGCATTTGCTGATGTAATTGATGACTTTATTTCTGTTTATCGACATGAATAGGGTGCTCAAGGGCGAAAGCCTCATTCCCTTAATAAACTGACTTAAACTGACTTAGCTTCTTTTTCAGGTTATTCATCGGTTGAAAGTTTAAAAGGGCCTGCCAGTCACAGCGCGGGTACTGCTGATAGCAAAATGAAATAAAACGCATTTTTGCCGTTTCAGCTACCTCTTCTGCCATCTAACGCCATGCAACTGACGTTTAGTGTCCGCTTGCTGTCGTTCATTCTGACAAGTCTCCAGCTTTGCCTTAAATATTCTTAAGTTTTTTAATATTGCACCGTGCTTTGCAGGCTAAATTTCTTCAGGGAGGTACAAGTTCTTGTCCACTTTGTATCCAAATACTCCGCCATTCAAATAATTTCGACCCCATGATAATATTGGCAGTTAATTTGCAATAAGTTTCCAACTATCCAGGAGAAAATGTGCGGAAATAGGGTTTTCGAAAGCCTTATTTGTCACTTTCAGAAATATACGGGAAACCACCAGTTTAATTTTGTCTTCCCCAGTCAAACGCAGCCTTGGCGCGCATGCTGTCATGATTGCTAATTTTTTGAGTCCATTTTTACATACTAATGTGCATCGTGATCTGATGCGATGAACCTACCAACCCCACAAAACAAAAGCGGCCACAGGCCTTAGTTCTCCTGCTATGCACGTTGGTTGTCCGTAACCTAAAGAGTTTATCGTAAAGGGTTGCTAGAGTAAATAGCGCTCCCATGTTTTACAGAAGTGGGGTAAACAGCTGACAGGAAACCACTATCACGTCGTTTCCTTCAGCCTATACTGCAGGGTCACAAAAGATTTAATGCGGACCCAGGAGCTTCTTTGTGTGAAAACAGTATCCGCATGGCGACACATAGTTGCAGTTTCGCTGTTTTGTTTGAACTGGATTGGTAGCACATTCGTACCCCTACGCAGGTCAAGCCATTTCAAACCTAATGGTCTAGCGAGCCACAGAAGAGGGATGTTGAAGTATTCTCTTCGAGAATACGAATGAAGTCCAGTACAGACTCTAAGATTCAGAATTCGCTATCCAACCCAAGTCTGGACAAAAGCTTCTGTTCTAATAAGCCTTTTTCATTAGTTGTCATTTTCGATTCTAAGTTCGACGAATAGGTACAGGATTTTTGATTTTCAAGTTAAGACCCATCCTTTGCAGTCGGAAAACGCGGATTTATACGACAGCCGAGGTTTTAGCGGTATGATGCTGCTTTCGTGTTAAAATCTGTTCGGATGTAAAACCCGACCCTAATAGCAAAGCGAGCTCGTTGCAAGCTCGTAACGGGGGCGCAAATCCGCCTTTCGGTGCTCGTTTCGAGCTCTGGTTTGGCCAGGCAACCAAGCTCGATGCGCCCTCGGTTTTGCGCCCTCGTAACGGGCTCTTAAATTCGCGACAGCGGGCTCGTTCTGCGTTCTTAACGAGGTCGAAAATACGAGATTGCCGAATAAAAATAAATAGGGGCCTTTATCCTTCAGATATCCGCCGATCCCACCCCCACCCAATAGCAGTACTCCCCCACATCCCTTCAAATAGAATATCAATCATGATTACTTAAAGAAAACTTTATTTATCAAAAATAGTAAAAAATCTGTGTTTAAAATATACAAAAATACAATTGTCATTGATTATCAGTTTGCGTCCTCTCAAGGTCTTCCGGTGGTTGGGCATCTGAAAGGAAGATAACGCAGAACAGTTAGAACATGTAATTGTGGTTTTATTCTGCATTAAAGTTAATTAAGCAGATAAAGTAATAATGCAAGTATATATATTACCGTTCTGCAGTCCGCTAATTGATGCTTTATTGCATTTTCGCTGTTGTCTGTCGTGAGCCCGTTTGAAGACGTTTTTAAATGCCTCTTCTAGTTTTTGTCTGTCGGATGAATGGCTGGCACACCATTTACTGAAGACGTCTAGTAGGGAAAATGCATAATGTACATGAATTTAAATTGTTACCGAGTATAAGGTCGTAGATTGGTGAACCAAAAAATGCTCTACTTCCAGGTTTCTTCCCGTAGAATGTCAGAAACTCTGTTACGTCTTCGGTGAATAGGGTGGTGAAAATGCGACCAGCAAATGCTGGCGTATTCTCACCTCCAGCTCCAGATAAGTAACATATCTGTGTAAAGTGTTTATAGATAATAAATAAGTTACCAATCGACGTCGGTATTGGGTATCTGACAAAGCCGCACACAATCGGTCGTAGGCGGCCAGCGAACTGACCTGTTGCCATGCCGGACCTTCCTCAACCGGAAGCGGTGTGGAGGCGGCGACAAGACTCCTGACATGGGCGTCCAAATTGTCGACCTTAGTGCAAAGGTCAGTAAGCCGCTGGATTATATCTTGTTGAGAATATATCATCCAGTACTGTCGCTTCTTCTTCTTATCTTTCGTAGACTTATGACTAGCCTTTCGCCGTCGTTTCCTTGATGGCGTACTGGTAAGTGGGCGTGAGGAAGTGTCATCTAATATGTAAGTATAAACAATGAAACTGCTTACGTAAGTAAGAGGAAGACATGCATCCCGGGATCGTTTCACTTGAATCACTAGCACTTTCTACCTTCTGAATGCCATATTAGCGAATAACTTGATAGCCTTACTGAGGACGAAGACTCTTCGTCTCCGGACACATAATCTCTCTTGTTATACTTGCTATTGGGTTTCTTCGAACGATGTGGTCTGTCTGCCATAGTTCTCTACAACCCAACAGGAAAGGGCAGGGATGATGAAAGTATTTCTAGGCTAACTCTCACTGTACCCATTCACTAATCGCGAATCAGTAAATAGGGGACTGTTGGGTTGTAGGATTCGCGAAGAGTGCCACCTTAGCGGTGGGAATATCAGTGAGAAGACTTACCATTGTCGAAATTGTGAGGAAATGATACCGTCGGACGCATTCGTTCGTCAGCCAAGAAGATCCCCATGTACGCACCCGCACGGAACGACTCACAACTGCTCATATGCTGAGTCCCAGCGTCCATTAATTTCAATAAGGACGAAATATTCCTGCATTGGGAAGCACGCATACTTCTTAACCGTTAACGGCAAAGGGCAGTTGTGAATCTCGGTGTCTAACCTAGCCTTGAAAACATTAACGGCTGAGGACCTAATGGGATAATCGAAGTAGTCTTCTATTGCACAATAGTTGGCGTAAACTATTTGCAATTGACCTGTTGGGTCCTGTACAATATTTTTGATACAGACTACCTTCCCGTCAATTGCGACAGAACCATCCGAGGGCCCTGTGCCAATGACCAAGTTGCCTTTTTGTATAAGTTTATACTGCATAGCCGATCCATCAGTGGATGGCAGTGGACCTTCGGAATGTTGATGCCTACATGTCCATTCTGTTGGAATGCAGATATCACGTCTTACACTCTGTTGCTCAGCTAATCGACGCACTACTTGCTGCAACGGTTGTGACGGCTTCCGTAGCAACCGTTTGAGACTACCTAGGTAACTTTCGAAAGGAAACGATGAGAAGCTGTCTAATGGACCATGTCGTAAGACATCATCCGGTAGGTGCAGAATGCTGTGAACATTGTACACCATTTCTCCTTTTCCATAAAGGACTGCATACTTCTCTACAAACATTCGCAATATGCGTCTACAGTAAGGTACCCATCGTCTGCAAGAGCGCGGCTGAACTAAGCTCCGCACCGCCGTAAACAACAATAGAAAGTGTTTCCAATACTTACGACGAAGAATGCCGTTCAGCACAACTATGCCTGTGTACAGCAAAAACTGCCGCAGTTCCGTACCCTTCCACATGTCCATGTCACGTATTGCCCTAGCACGCTGAGAAAATTCCCGCGGCAGGGATGCATTAAAGGAACGCAATCTAGTGTTGATGAGAGAAACTTCTGCTGTTGTCAACCTAAACGCAGTTTCTCTTGGGCCGCGAAGCCACAAATTAAGTAGCCTCTTCATTACACCTAAATATACTAAATGCAGAGGATCTAGAGGGAATGAACTTATCATTCCAACGTTACACGCCAACAGAGGTGACACGCCTGTGCGGTGAGGGTTGTCCGGTGTAGATAAAAAGTCCTCATCCACCCTCAATGGCTCTGAAACGCCATCGTATACAACCTTGTCTATATATTCACCTTTAAGGTAACATCTCTCGCAGCCGTAGTAGGCATTGACATTCCTAATTTGCTTAATGAACGCCCTAGCTGGAGCATCACAAATCACTGCAGCTAAGCGGACGTTCAGGGTTTTGTCAATCGAATTGACATGCAAGCCATTCTCGGACAATGATGATAACTCATCAACCAATGGTTTGCAGAATGCCTGGACGTCCGGCGGTTTGCCTACACCGCAATAGATTCCTACAGGAAAAACGGTGCCCACTATGGGCTCCATAACCCTACATAGAATAGGCCAAAACTCAAGCTTAGTCTTCCGGTAAATAGGTAGACCATCTATAGCTAGGGATATAACTACATCAGGCAATGGACACTGTGGAATTAGGCAACGTAACTGGTCAGTCAGCTGTCTAATCAGGCCCAAATGAACATACTCACCACTGCCCATGGCCGTAAACGGTGCAGGGTCGCTTGAAGTACCAAGCAGTGTGCGTACGTCCAACGGGAGCTCGGGATGGAAGGGCTTGAGAACCTTCAGCAGAGTATTCACATGGACATGAGCCGTTTTTGACTTAGCAGCCCACCTACTCAATGGCTCAAGCAGCGTTCGCTTTCCTTCCCCTACCTGCTCCGTCAACACACTCGAACAGCCTGGTTCGTTCGTGGATTCGTTGTCAATGTCAACCTCCGACTCTTCGGAGAAGGTAGACGACTCCGTAGATGTCGTCGAGCTGTCAGACGATGTGGACGACGACGATGTGTCCGACGGTACCATTCTCCTCACCTTTTCGGTAATATTTCTTATGATTTCTGATGCTTTCCGTCGTACGTGACGTCGACGGGTGCGGCTGCTTTCACCTTTAAACATAATAGACACAAAAAAGAAGAACAGTTAGAGGGCAGGACCAGAAAAGCAAGAAAACGATGTAGGCCAAACTGAGCGTGCGCACGGCAAGGTGGCAGAGCAGGAAGTGGCGCGCCGGGACTGCCTGAGCCCGGCCAAGCATCGGGTGCACCGGTTGATATCGATTTTCATGCGTCAGTGCACGCCGTCGACTGCGCCACTGGCAGTGCTAACGAGACGCACGTATCGACCAATCAAATCGCAGATACGGTAGGGGGCGCTAACGCGTATGTAAAGAGCAGATATTTGTAGTTAAGTTTGTTTTAATTACTTTTGTTATTGCTCTCCTGAGCGACAATCCGCTCTCTTTGAAGCGACGGTTACGGATCGCGAAGCGGACGCGCAAGAGGTGAAACCCCGCGTACCGACACCCAGACAGGAAGGAGGGTAAATCGGAGGAAAGCTCACGCATACCTTCTGGTTCCCTTACTCTATTGTCACCCCCTGCCCCCGAATTACAATTTCCCTACTTGTTCTCCATTCAATAAACGTTCCTTGTTGGAAGTTCATTTCTGGTATTGACTGTTGCGATTCGCGTGATCATACCCATAAGACCCACACACAAAGGAGAGACGTGATGGATATGTCCGCTATACCTCCTACAGACGAACAGACTCAACTATCTCCCAAAGACCTCAACACAGACGAGACCAAGTCTTCATGTAACCCGTGTATTACAATGGTGGCAGCGCGCACGATAGAACCGTCTAGCCCTAGAAGAACACCAGCGCCCTACTACCACGCCATACCATCCTCATTTCATATTTTTGATGGAGAAGAAGACTTCGGGAATTGGCTAAATCTACTTGATTTCTATTTGGAGGAAGTACCTGACAACGAAAAAAGCCGCGCCTTATTGAAACATTTGGCAAGTAGGCAACTCCGCCAGGCGCTTAATTCTGGAGTATCAGGACGTACTCCATATAAAAACCTTTGTTGCCAACTACGCCGTCTATTCTCTCCA